ACTCGGGAGGCTGAGGCAGGAGAATGGCGTGAACCCGGGAGGCGGAGCTTGCAGTGAGCTGAGATCCGGCCACTGCACTCTAGCCTGGGCGACAGAGGGAGACTCCGTCTCAAAAAAAAAAAAAAAGAATTTTGAATGGAATAATGCCCTACTTTTTCCCGGCTAGCTCCATTCAACATTGTCTGTTGGGTCCATCATGATGTGACATGTACAGATGTTCCTCAACTTATGATGGGGTATATGTCCCAATAAACTCACCATAAACATAAGTTGGAAATGCATTTATAGCTGCTAAAGGCTTACATCCCCTTCCTCCAAAAGGAAGGAAAATGTATTCACTGTCACAAGACCAATGTGTTAATTTCTGGACAATAAAGTCATTAGTGGTCTATTGTCAGGACTGAATTTTCATACTCAGCTTTGATTTATTCCAAATAAGCAAATTTTTAGTTCTTTGACTATAAGGTGATTATTAGTTTCTCAATATAATGAACAATAGCAATATTTAAATAAGTTATTAGTTAATAGACAATATGCTTCAATTTTATTATGTTTATTATTATTTTTTGAGATGGAGTTTTGCCCTTTCTGCCCAGGCTGGAGTGCAATGGCAAGATTTCGGCTCACTAAAACCTCTGCCTCCTGGGTTCAAGCAATTCTCCTGTCTCAGCCTCCTGGGTAGCTGGGATCACAGGCACATGCCACCACGCCCGACTAATTACCAGGCCCGGCTAATTTTTGTATTTTTAGTAGAGATGGGGTTTCATCATATTGGTCAGGCTGGTCTCGAACTGACCTCAGGTTATCCGCCAGTCTCGGCCTCCCCAAGTGCCGGGATTACAGGTATGAGCCAACGCGCCCAGCCTATTATTATTTTTGAGATGGAGTTTTGCTCGTCACCCAGACTAGAGTGCAATGGCACGATCTTGGCTCACTGCAACCTTTGCCTCCTAGGTTCAAGCGATTCTCCTGCCTCAGTCTTCTGAGTAGCTGGGGCTGCAGGGATGTGCCACCATGCCCAGCTAATTTTGTATTTTTAGTAGAGACAAGGTTTCACCATGGTCAGGCTGGTCTTGAAACTCCTGACCTCAGGTGACCCGCCCACCTCTGCCTCCCACCTCCCAAAGTGCTGGGATTACACGCATGCGCTACCACACCAAGCATCAAATGCTTTTAAAATAAACAACTTCCCCAAAGAATGCCTCAACATAAGTTCAAAGAAAATTCTAAAACTGCACCCATGCACCATCAACTACACATTGTATTTACCACAGAGGAAGCATCAAATGGCTGTTGCATTAAGTGTCAAAATTTGGTAACCAATAACTTTTTTTTTTGAGACGGAGTCTCGCTCTGTCACCCAGGCTGGAGTGCAGTGGCCGGATCTCAGCTCACTGCAAGCTCCGCCTCCCGGGTTCACTCCATTCTCCTGCCTCAGCCTCCCGAGTAGCTGGGACTACAGGCGCCCGCCACCTCGCCCGGCTAGTTTTTTGTAGTTTTAGTAGAGACGGGGTTTCACTGTGTTCACCAGGATGGTCTCGATCTCCTGACCTCGTGATCCGCCCGTCTCGGCCTCCCAAAGTGCTGGGATTACAGGCTTGAGCCACCGCGCCCGGCCAATAAATTTCAATCCATTTAAAAACACTGTAAATATAGTATAAATGTTGTCAGTTCAACTAATGATTCCATAATCAGGAGAACTTAACAGAACACATGGAGTCCCCTTGCACTCAAACCCTATGTCTGTTCCTCTACTTTCTCCACAAATCGTTGGTGGAAAGGATGATACGTGAATTCTGAAAAGCTCTCAGTGACCATCAATTCAAGGTGACAGGCTTACAGCCTCTTTCTACTGAGACTTGAATACTGGCAAGGGAATAAAAAAGTGTTTAACACAATGACAAAAAGGTAGAGTGAGATAGCAAAAGATACTTCAAAAAGCTGCTTGGAAGATGAAAAAAAAAAAAAAAAATTGTCAGGTGTGGTGGCCCGCGCCTGTAATCCCAGCACTTTAGAAGATCACCTGAGGTCAGGCATTCAAGACCAGCCTGGCCAACATGGCGAAACCCCGTCTCTACTAAAAATACAAAAATTAACTGGGCATGTTGGCGCACTTGTAGTCCCAGCTACTCGGGAGGCAGAGACAGGAGAGTCACCTGAACCCAGGAGGCAGAGGGAGCAGGGAGCCAAGATGGTGCCACTGCACTCCAGCCTGGGCAACAGAGCTAGACTCCGTCAAAAAAGAGATTAAGAAACAGAAAAAGAATTAACAAAATTAAAGGCTTAAATTTATTATTAATTATTATTATTTTTTTGAGATGGAGTCTCACTCTGTCACCCAGGCTGGAGTGCTACCTCCGTCTCCCAGGTTCAGGTGATTTTTCTGCCTCAGCCTACCGAATAGCTGGGATTGCAGGCACCCACCACCAACCCTGCTAATTTTTGTATTTTTAGTAGAGATTAAAAATTGTCTTGCCATCTTGGCCAGGCTGGTCTCCAACTCCTGACCTCAGCTGATCTGCCTGCCTCAGCCTCCCAAAGTGCTAGGATTGCAGGCGTGAGCCACCGCACTCGGCCAGGTTTAAATTTAAATAGCCACAGAGAAAGATTAAGTGAGACCTTGTCTCAAAGAAAACAAAAACAAAAAAACCTAGGGGTGAGCTACTTTACCCAAAAGAACGCTTCAGAACTTTGAAACTTAAAAGGCACCACCAAAGTTGTGAAAGGAGCAGGGCTGAACACAGAAGAACTGGTTTAAAGCATGTAAACAGAATTGTTTGGTCTCTTAGGTTCCCTCCTGCCATATCACATGCAACCAGATCCATCACTTCTCAGCTGTATGCAAACATGACGAAGTTTCTTAACACCTCTAACCATCAATTTCCTCATTTGTAATGAGATTACGAAAATGCCTACTCCATATGATTATTGTGAGGATTGAGGGAATACATATTAAGCACACAGAAAAGTACCCAGGCACATGGTAAGCATAAATAAAACTTGTTGTTTTAAGTCTTTGATGTGATTTGCTTTCTTATTAATTATGGTGTCTATACTACCTTGAGAAACACCTCTGGGACACATGAATGACGAAGACATAATGGCACTTTCATCTTGTGAGCACAGCTCCATGACATATCACAGTGACACTGGCTTAGTCTCAAAGCAAGACTAACAATCCTAAGGGTCATAGGTAAATACTAAAGGCGGTAAAACTGGTGGGGAAAAGGAACCAAGTGTGGGAGAGGTGCCTTGGAGCACTTCTTAATGTCATTCTGTGAGTACAATTGTGACACATTGCTTACCTTTGAATAAATGAGAACCTGATTATAATGATAAGAAGTAAGACATATGAACAGACTGAAATAAAACACAATAATCCATAATACCACATAAGAAATGTTATCCAGAAATCACAGTTTATGCTATCTGAAAACCATTTATTGCAACGACAAAACTAGAGGTTAATTACTTTTTATTATTGAATTATATTGTAAAGTCTACATCTACAATTGAATCAGGAAGAAATGCTTTGCATTTACATCAAGGACACATTTATTCTAATGGAATAAAACAGACACACACAAAAGACCAAGTACATGTTTTTAAAAAATGACTACATGTTTCACCTGGTCCTATTTTTGCTATTTGGACCATACTTTTAAGTGAATTGATCTTACATACATGTTAAGTCTGATTTACCTTCCCACATTTTTAAACACTAAATGAAGCTTCTCACAATTTCTAATTATAAACAAAAGGCTGAAAACAGTATGGGAAACAAAGTTTAAAAACAAAGAAAAGTTGGGTAAAAGGTGCCCCTTCTATGGCTCATCTCAAAGAAACACTTTTACTCAGACAGGCAAACATTTCTGATCTAGGAGTAAGTTTCCCACTCACTTTGCAGAAGGACCCACTCATTCTGCAGAAAGACCTACAAGTCTTTCTGGTCTCAACTGCAAAGTACATGAAAATGTGTACGAAAGATCTAAAAGCTAAATATCAGAATAAGGCTAATTGAAATCAAAATTGTGTGCTGGTCTAAATATACATCTTCAGCTTCTTCCTTTTTATTAAGTATTTTTATTTCAGATGTATTTAAAAATAACTTACATTTTTAGTGTGCTTTATGGCCAATGACTGTAAAGTTGAAACTCAAGTCAGTTTAAAATTTTTGTCTTATTTGATTCTATTGAAATTTTAATCACCTACTTACTACTTTACGTAACCAAGTTATTCATGAGGTAAGTTTCAGCAAAAAAAAAAAAAAAAAAAAAAAAAAAAAAAAAAACACCACAAAGATAACCATTTCAAGAGTACACAAAATCATAATGCCGGTCGGGTGCAGTGGCTCACACCTGTAATCCCAGCACTTTGGGAAGCTGAGGCAGGCAGATCACTTGAGGCCAGGAGTTCGAGACCAGCCTGGCCAACATTGTGAAACCCCGACTCTGCCGAGGCAGGAAACTTGCTTGAACCTGGGAGGCAGAGGTTGCACTGAGTCCAGATCGTGCCACTGCACTACAGCCTAGGTGACAAGAGCAAGACTCCATCTCAAAAAAAAAAAAAAAAAAAAAAAAAAAAAAAAAAAAAAAAAAAAAAAACCAAACATAATGCCCATCTCTTATTCAGAGTATACAACTTTATTAACTACTGCTTATGATATAATATAAAAGCAAGTCCTTTTTGTACTTTCTTTTTTTTTGAGATGGAGTCTCGCTCTGTTGCCAGGCTGGAACGCAGTGATGTAATCTTGGCTCACTGCAACCTCCGTCTCCTGGGTTCACATGATTCTCCTGCCTCAGTCTCCCTAGTAGATGGGACTACAGGCGTGTACCACCACACCCAACTATTTTTTTTGTATTTTTAGTAGAGACGGGGTTTCACCATGTTGGCCAGGATGGTCTTGATCTCTTGACCTCGTGATCCACCCGCCTTGGCCTCCCAAAGTGCTGGGATTACAGGCGTGAGCCACCGCGCCCAGCCCATTTTGTACTTTCTAATCAAATTATGCTGGGAAATATAAGGCAAAAAAAGCCTGGCAAAATTTGTTTCTGGTAACAAGACAATGCAATAATGAATCCAAATGAAACATAAGACCAGTGTTTACAATTTCTAACTTCTAAACAAACATACACACACTTATCTAAAAGGTATTTTGGTAGCAAACTGGATGACTGAATAAATGTTTTGCTGTAAATAAAAAATAAAAATTTCCAATTATAGCCTTATAGCTAGCCAAACAGCTTTTCAAAACATGTATAGCCAGCTAACAATTCTCTAAAATATGTATGTTACACTAAAGGATCTCTGCTAAAAATCTACTGTATGTAAATGGGTCTCACTGAAGTAGGACTTTCATGATACTGTGTCTTAAAAAGTGAGTATGACAGGGCTACAAGAATATTACTATTAATAAAGGTTACAGAAAAGATTATTGCTGTACTTTTCCTCATAAACACCATCAAACTTTGTTGCAGTTACAAAAAGTACAACCGAGTTACTTTTCCTCTTACTGAATTTCATTATGTTTCACATATTTGTAGTTTTTATTCAGCAGAGAATAATTCTTAAAATCTTTTCTGTAAGAATTCTAAGTATTAAATGTGTAGCTTCACATTACACTACCATGTTTCGCCCTTCTTGTTTCCCAAATACACAAAAAACATATACATTTTTTCAAAAATGAAATAAGATGCTCACATTAAAAAAATAAAGCCTACAAAAAGTTCCAGAGCTAAAAAAGATTATTCATATGGCACAAAGTGATCTCCTACTAGTCCAAAGTTCAAAAACATTTTAATGAAGTCCATTCCTATATATTTTGTTTGCTTTTCAATGAAATACTACATTTATTGAGGCAAAATCACATTATTTTTAGTTCTTGGAGTCAACAAGTGTACACAAATGTTTTTCAACACAGTTATTAAAAATAGGAGACCAAGTTGAATGTGCCAAAGAGATACCATTCAGTTGGATTTTCTAGGGTCAACATGAAGAAAATTAGAGAAGGGATTTACTTGGTTGGTTTCCATAGCTTGATAGACCAAAAACAAAAAAACTGCCACAATAACAAACAGCAAAATTTTTATCCATACGGGAATGGAGCGTCCCTTTTTTGTCTTTTCTGACTTGACATCTGCCAAGGGAACATACTTAGGAACATATTTAGATGAAAAAGACTCCTCCATCCTGAAATCACTGAGTTCTAATGGCCGGCCTGCAGCCCCTTTGATTGGTCTGCGGCAACTAGCACTGTTGGGAGTGAAAGGAGGAAGAGAAAAATAATTTTAGATAAAGGCATGATTTAGAGAAATAACATAAAATGTCATTGCCACTCCTAATTCCAAGCACATTCCCTGAGATAACAGTAGAGAAAATTGATACATACAAAGCAGTGAGGTCAGTCAGCCTATTTAAAACTTCTACACATTTTCTATTTTAAAAGATGGGCCAGGTGTGGTGGCTCACGCCTGTTAATCCCAGCACTTTGGGAGGCTGAGGTGGGCGGATCACCTGAAGTCAGGAGTTCAAGACCAGCCTGGCCAACATGGTGAAACCCTGTCTCTACAAAAATACAAAAATTAGCCAGGCATGATGGTGGGTGCAATTCCAGCTACTCGGGAGGCTGAGCGGGGAGGACTGCTTGAACCTGGGAGGTGGAGGTTATAGTGAGCTGAGATAGTGTCACTGCACTCCAGCCTGGGCAACAAGAGTGAGACAATGTCTCAAAAAAAAAAAAAAAAAAAAAAAAAAAAGTTAGATGCATCCTTTATTAGAAAAGAATATTCAGAACACTGATAAATAGTCACTAAACTGCCTTCTGAAAGGCTCTTCAAAGCTAATGTTTAGGAGTAAAGAGGAAAAACAAAACATAGTTTTGGTTGTGTTTCTTTCAGTTAAAAATTAAGATATATATACACAGTCTTTTCAATTATTAAAGAGAAATTCAGGGGGAAAAAGTATTTCTCACTAGATTTCCATTTAGATTTTAACATATAAATTAAGTAGTAAGTAAATGATTTATTTAAAATCCTCCATTTACCAACTGCAATTTTGAAACTCATTCAACTTCCAAGAATATTTACTGGTGGGCTTAGGGGAATTAAACTGCTCCCAAAAGAACAGTTCATTCTCTTATTTATTTAAGAGTCAGGGAGTAGACAGAATCTCATTATGTTGCCCAGACCGGTCTTGAACTCTGGGCTCAAGCGATCCACCTGCCTTAGTCTCTTGAGTAGCTGGGACTATAGGCATGTACCACTGCACCTGGCTCCAAAAGAACAGCTTAATTCTGAGCAGAGGTACAGTAACTTTGCGATGAATAATTAAAAATAAAGATTCCCTACTAGAATACGCTAGTACTTGTTTCAATGTATCTGAATACCTAATTCCTGTTGGTGTAGATGCTTCATAGGGGAACATTTCCTTAAGAATATCCCTTTCTACTCTTCTTTCCTCTGTTTTTTCTCCCACCTAATAAGAAACAAACAAACAACCACAAGTTAAAATTTAGTGTAAACGTGCAATAATTAAAACATAAATAGTAAGTTTTAGAGAACAAAATGCCCTTACATCTATCACAGATTTTACAACTGCCATTTCTAAATTAATACCTAGGTATCCACATGCTTCCAAGGCTCTTGGAATTTCAAATTTCAAATTTGAAAAACTTCAAATTTTTTGAAGATACCTTATATATGTGGTTATTGGAGTGGAAAAACTGCTACACATTCAAATAACTGGGGGGAAAAAATTCAGTAATCTAACATGGCAATGCTAATTCCCTCACTGTAATCCCAGTACTTTCGGAGGCTGAGGCGGGTGGACCTGAGGTCAGGAGTTTGAGACCAGCCTGACCAACATGGTGAAACCCTGTCTCTACTAAAAATACAAAAATTAGCTGGGCGTGGTGGCGGGCACCTGTAATCCCAGCTACTCAGGAAGCTGAGGCAGGAGAATCGCTTGAACCCAGGAGGCAGAGGTTGCAGTGAGCTGAGATCACGCCACTGCACTCCAGCCTGGGTAATGGAGCAAGACTCTGTTTCCGATAATAACAAAAAGTATATTGTTTCTTCATTTATTAAGAATTCTGTAGTAAAAGATAAAATACAGAAGATACTCAATTAACATGAACCTTTAGCAAATTTTATGTTTTAAAATTATAGTCAATGAAATATGCCCAAATTAAAAAAATATAAAATAATGTTTAGCTTGTTTTGCTGTTTACCTTTATGTCCAGAACAAAATAATGTTTCAGCTCCTTTTGTAAAGATTCATTCAAATTAAAATGCATCATGCAGTTAGTACTTTCAAGCTTATACAAGAGTTAACCCATTCCAGCACCATATAAAGTTATCTTAAAGTATCTTATTTGACCCGTCAACAAAATAAAGTGTAGCCTCCCTCACAGCCCAGCAGCACTTTCAAATTTGCATCCACGACAAACAGAACATATTATAAGCAGAACACAAATGACCACTCCCTTGAAAACTGGAACTTAAGAGGGATACAGTGGCAAGAGGATAGTATTAGCATGTCATACTATATTAGTTAATTTCTGTTTTCACTAATAAAAGTGTCCTTAAAATAATTTATGCATATTTACACACTCCACCCAACAAAGAAAGCTCTGCTCCCTCCCACTCCAAAAAAAAAAAAAAAAAAAAGAAATATTTCCTCTTTGAAAGATCAATGATAGCATCGATCTAAATTGTATTCATTTACTTCAGCTCTTGTCAATGGTTTCTTTGGTGCTCTTCTGGGTATGTCTGAGAATTCAGTGATTGGCAGAATAGGAGATGCATGCTTGAAATTTCCAGTCACCCTATTGACAACCTGCCAAGATTCAAATTATTCAGACTCAGAATTATCCAAACATAACACAGACACTTAAAAAGAAAAGAAAGATATTTTATCTCTGTAATATTAGAAATTTTCCCTTAGTAAAGATTTAAGCAACAGAGCCTACAAACACAACTTAGTGCCTCACATGTGAAGCCTCATTCTTCAAATATTTTAACAAAAATATCCTTATACTTTCTTGTACAATGAATTAGATTTCTTTACATAAATTGGATATTATAGGAAAATCCTAAAATTCAGAACTACATGGGGAAAATCCGTTTAAAATTGTTAAAAAAAATGTAAATTTGAGATTTGCGAAAATTCACCACCTCCCCATTTCCAATTAAAGGGTAATTTACAAAGAATACCACTTGTATAGTTTATGAAACATATTTACTAAGGATTCGTTGCTTGAAGCCATTATAGTTTCAGCTATGGGAGTACTCTCTGAAATTACTGGACCATCTATACGAAAATGTTCTGAAGTTTCCACCTGTTAGTTTGAAAACAAAACAAAAACAATAAATATAAAATAATACTAAAACCCTACCAATCTGAAAACCCAATTCTAAGGAATAAGCCTTGCATCACCCTTTTCCTTGGAGTTCTTCTTGACCCTCTTGTAGATTCCCTAGTTAATGCCTGCAGAGGTCCGCCTTTTGAAGATCCACTTGTCCATTCAGTTTCAGTTACTCCAGCTTGAGAATAGCTCTATTCAAGCATCAACACATTAAAAAGTCATATTCTAACACCAAATACTTTTATAACGGCCATACTGGCACACTGAGAAGCCAGGAAATAAGTCTCCAAATGCCAGCATTTACAAACGATGCTATGCCCTCAAAATATTCCTAAACGTATTAATTGAACTGATATTTAGGCATCAGAAAACACTTAAAAAGTGGTAAAATACACTAAAGAATCCACCTATAGTAGCTCACAAATTATAAAAATGATGGGAAAAAAAAGCACATCAACAATCACCAGTTCCCTTTTTGACTCTCTGCTATTTGGTTCTAGTATTGGAGATACATCTCTGACTAAACAAAAAGCAGACTGATCATGACTTACAAGAAAGTCATCTATTATAAGTCAGTTTCCTTTTAGAACAAAAATACAAACTTTTGTAATTGTTAGCATAGACTAAACATTATTTTCATATGGTTAGAATCATTTTTGTAGACTCAGTTTAAATTATAATCCCACACATAGCTTACTTGAACTAAAAAATTCTCAAGTGTCAAACTTTTCTTGGAAACAGATACAAAATTAGGTAGCCACAAAAACCCTGTGGTCACTCTTTAATGAACATGTAAGCCTAATGTCACTTTCAAATCTCAACGCTATCCATGTCACTACAGAAAGATAGAAAAGAGCTGTCTCAGATTCTCAGTCTCAGATTAATTTCTACGTTTCACTGATCATTCCTCATTTTTAAAAATCCAGCATTTCTTACATACTAGTTTAAAACCCATTAGATCAGTTCTTCTTAAATTGTAATGTGCCTATCAATCACTTGAAGCTTTTGTTAAATGCAGATTCTGATTCTGTAGCTCTTGGGTAGGGCCCGAAATTCCACATTCAAGTAGCAAGGTTTTCAGTTTTGAAGCCGCTATTACCAGATGATTCTTTCAAATTCTTTTAAATTCTTTTAACTAGAGAACATTGGTCAATGATCAGTATTATAGTAGAGTGTGCTTCTGTTGTCACTTCTGCTTTCACGCTAATATTTAACCTAGATTACTGATGGTTTTATGTCCAAGTCAGTGTCTATTAAATTTAAAGACAAATTTTTTTTTCAAACTTTAATCCTGTGACAGGAGTGGTCATCCAATAAATACGCCTAAATGGCTAGAAGTAATACTTCCAAAACCCCAAAAGTTACAGACATAGTCTCATAAATCATTGTTTTGTATTTATCTATATTTAGAATTGACATTATAAGAGTTTTAAGTTACAATCTGAATCTCTGGGTTCCTTATCCTATCAACTAGGAAATATTTGCTGAATGCAAAATTATTGTCAAAAGAGAAATCTGTAAACAAATTACAGACATACACAGAGTAACTGCTTTCTTATTTTTATTTTTTGAGACAGAATCTCGCTCTGTTGCCCAGGCCAGAGTACAGTGGCGCAATCTCGGCTCACGGCAACCTCCACCTGCGAGGTTCAAGCGATTCTCCTGCCTCACCCTCCTGAGTAGCTGGGATTACAGGCACGCACCAGCATGCTTAGCTGAATTTTTCGTATTTTTAGTAGAGACGGGGTTTCGCCATGTTGGCCAGGCTGGTCTCCTGACCTCAGGTGATCCACCCACCTGGGCCTCCCGAAGTGCTGGGATTATAGGCGTGAGCCACTGTGCCTGACCAGAGTATGTGCTTTTTAATAGTCAAATTCCCTACTATTTGAATAGAAGGAAAGGTAGTATTATAATCTGAGATTCTCAATCCTTGTGGCACAGTACCATCAAGGAGAGAAAAAAAAAAAAGCAAATGCCCCCAACTACCATAACCAATTAGATTGAATATCATCAGGGTCTGGGAATATATAATTTCTAAAGCTCCTGAGATAAGTAAAAGCCATCTTAAAGGCCTCACTATCAATTTAAGTAAAACATGACCAATATGGTTACTCATACTAACTTTATTAAAAAACAACAACAACAACAAAAAACACCAGCCTCATATTCCTCCATTTGAGAACAGTACTTTCAAACATTGCGGGTGGGAATGCAAAATGCTTCAACTCATATGCAGAGAAATGTAATGGTGAAATTACCTAGCAATTTCACTTGTAGGCTTCCCCAAGATAAACTGGCAAAAAATATGCAATGACACATGCAAAATGTTGCTCTATGGTTCATCCTCGCATTATTCATAATAACATACAGCTGAAAACAACTCAAATATTCACCAAATGGAGAGTGGTTAAATAAATTACAGTACATCCATAAAATGCAACACATAAAATGCAGTTGTACAAAGCAATGAGGAAAATGGCTACATTCTTATATGGAGTGATCTCAAGGATACGTGTTTAGGTTAAAAATGGAAATGTACAAAGCAGGCTGCATTTTATGTAAAAGGGGAGCATATAAAAATCTATATATTTACTTGTATTTTCAAAAAGAAACAAAATATAATCAAAACTTAATAAAAATGGTTATCTATAGATGGAAGGGAAAAGGACAGAAGCCAGAATTCCAACTCTACCTTATTTTGTCTATATAAAACTATATTATACTCTCAACACAATTAAAAAATAATAAAAAAAAAAAATCCTAGTATTAGAGAACAAAAAAAATCTATTAAGTTGGTGGCTGCATGACACAAAGACAAAAATTACTTCAAGTGACTTTAAGTACAGTATTTTGACTTTACATTCTAGTGGGATATGTCCTAAAGACAAGAAAAACAAAATCCCAAATTGCATTTAACAGCCTTATTGTTACTAGTAATACCGTATTATTTAGAAACACATACATGTGATACTTACGTAAGTAATAATATCATTTGAAGAACCAAGATATTCAGCATAAGATAAAAAAGATACAAGTATAATGCCCAAAATTAGCCTGTATTTAAAAATTTGAAATTTCACCATTTATTCATGATTTACATTAATTCATGATTTACCTAGCACTACCTACTGAAAAGACCCAGAAACAATGACAGCCACTAGGAATGAACATGTCAGCATCCAAATTGTTGCTTCCAAATAGTATTTTCTATTAAAAGGATCAGGGTTCCTTGGAAACATGGCTGATTCCAGGTATGACGCAGGAAGCATACACGAGCCTGGGATGTCTTACTGTTCCAGAAAACAAGGAACTATCAAATATCAAAGATAAATGGGGGAAGAAATTAAAAAATACAGGAACCAACTTAGTAATTCCTAATGGCTAGAGATGGCGCAATGTGAACATCAAAAAAGAATGATGACTGTAACTGATCATAAATCTAATACATAAAAAACCTCAAAATAATAGACCTAGGCAATCATCATCAATGACTGTTAGAAACATTAAATGAAAGGGCAATGTGGAACTTTGTAACAGATGGATTAAGCTTTCAACACCTAAATCAATTACTAATTTTAGCATCGTCAGAAAGACATTCTATACCTCCTGAAACGATGTAACAGGAAGGCCACAATATCATTTATTAAGTATTCTTGTGAAAGAAACTGAATGTGGATCTGACCAACCCCCTGGATCTGTGCCGTCCAATATGGTAGGCCACTAGCCACATGAGGCCATTTAAATTTAATTAAAATTAAAACATCGTTTCAGTCGGGCACAGTGGCTCACGCCTGTAATCCTAGCACTTTGGGAGGCTGAGGCGGATGGATCACCTGAGGTCGGGAGTTTGAGACCAGCCTGACCAACATGGAGAAACCCCGTCTCTACTAAAAACACAAAATTAGCCGGGTGTGGTGGCACATGCCTGTAATCCCAGCTACTCAGGAGGCTGAGGCAGGAGAATCGCTTGAACCTGGGAGGCAGAGGTTGTGGTGAGCTGATATCATACCAGCCTGGGCAAAAGAGTGAAACTCCATCTCAAAACAACAAAAACAACAACAAAGAAAAACTGAGAGTTTCTCAGCCCCACCAGTCACCATTCAAGTATTCAATAGCTAGTGGCTACTGTAATGGATAGCACAGATATAAAAAATTTCTATCACAGAAAGGTTTACTACATACCCTCACTACAGATCTAACCCACTCTACAGGAAATGCAGCGAATACAGAAGCTAATTAAATGACATAAAGAAGCAACCTAACAAATCCAGAATGTTGGGAAATTCTGTAATGACCTAGTTTCTTCACCAAATAAATGGAGGGAAGAGAAACAGTTACAGTGGTAATAGCTACAGACTTGAGAGAGAAAAACAACCAAAAATCAAACCAGATATGTGGATCCTGTTTGGATCTTGATTTGAACAACATAATCATAAATGAAACATTACTGAAACTAGAGGAATTTAAACATGAATTAGACACGAATAAATTATTAATCTTATCACGTGTGATATTGGCATTGTCACTGGAACGGCACTTATCTTTCAGAGATATATGCTACAATGCTGACTTTTTAATGTGTGAAACATGTCAAAGATTGCTTTAATATACTCCAGGACAAAGCAAAACAAAAAAAATCAAAAGCAATTTAAGGCCGGGCGCAGTGGCTCATGCTTGTAATCCCAGCAATCTGGGAGGCCAAGGCAGGTGGATCACTTGAGGTCAGGAGTTCGAGACCAGCTTGGCCAACATGGTGAAAACCTGTTCTCTACTAAAAATACAAAAACTAGCCAGGCATGGTGGCGGGAGCCTGTAATCCCAGCTACTCAGGAGGCTGAACCAGGAAAACTGCTTGAACCCAGGAGGCGGAGGTTGCAAGTAAGCCGAGATTGTGCCATTGCACTCCAGCCTGGGCGATACAGTGAGACTCCGTCTCAAAAAAAAAGTAATTTAAAAAGCTGGAGAGTGTGGGGTGATGAAACCAGACTGGTAAAACCCTGACAACTGCGGCACATCTATGACTGGAGGGTCATTAAACTCTTCCTCCACTCTTCTACATGTTTTAAATTTTCTGCAATAAAGCCACTGTCTAACTCTGCCTGTCATCTAAACTTACACTCCTTTGACTATTCTGCCCCTCAGTTTAGATTCGTCAACTCAATTATCCCTTAGACCATCTTTAATACTATGTCTCTTCCCCTTCTTTTAACCTAGTATCTGATCAGTCACATGCTCTTGCTGGCACCACATCATCTTCACTTCAAACTCTGGACCAAAATTCTCCATGCTTGTCGGTTTCAGCGTGCTTCACCAAATTTTCCTAAGTTCTCTTGTTATTTCCTTATTCTTCAGCATGCTCCTGAAGCTATTTGTTAGGACTACTACATAAAAGGGCAATAAAATATGTATTCCAGTATTTGGTTCTATGTTAACAAAATCTTCATTTATTCAATGCTCTGTACGTTTTTGTAACAAAGCTCATTTCTAACAAACGGTTCTGAAATTCAACTTATCAACTACATCAAATGAAGAGAGAGACTTGGCTTAAGGAATCAAGAATAACTCCTCTAAGGATTTAATTTTAAAACAACAAACAGGCCGGGAGCAGTGGCTCACGCCTGTAATCCCAGCACTTTGGGAGGCTGATGCAGGTGGCTCACCTGAGGTCAGGAGTTCAAGGCCAGCCTGGCCAACACAGTGAAACCCCGCCTCTACTAAAAATACAAAAATTAGCTGGGCGTGGTGGCACGTGCCTGTAATCTCAGCTACTTGGGAGGCTGTGGCAGGAGAATCGCTTGAGCCCGGCAGGGTTGGAGGTTGCAGTGAGCTGGGATCACGCCACTGCACTCCAGCCTGGATGACAAGAACAAAACTTCATCACAAACAAACAAAAAAAGTGACAAACAGGAGATGGAAAAGATAACCAACTAGACAAATCTTCCAGCTAGACATAGTAAGGGTAAGGAAAATGACTCTAGGAATAGCTGTCTTATAAAGCATCAGCCAAATCAATGCTACGTTAGTCAATAATTTGTTCTCTGTAAACAATACTAGGTTAGTCAATAATTTGTTCTCTGTTCATTTACACCTATGCTTATTTTCTCCTTAGTTTCCTACATTTCCCTTTTGAAAAACTGAAATGCCTCTCCCACAATAGAAAAGGTAAATTTTCATCTGACATAAGGAAAGAAAACTGTAGTCTTAGGACCAGACTAGCATCTGAGTTTAGGGAAGAATCACAGAAGACAAGACAGGCAAACACAAAATCAAAGTCAAAAATCTAGAGACAAAGACACAAATATAAAACCCTTCTATTGCTTTTTAAAGAAATTGTATCAAAAGTGTCTAGATATTTCCAACTTTTAAAATATTTCTTTCAAAATGCTGTATAACTGGTTTTGAACTACGTTTAGCACAGACTCAAACACAAATGAGACATTTATTAAAAAGTTGCTTTTGCCGTAATTGCAGGCTACACTACTGACAAAACCCATAAAGTTTAGATTTTTAGTATCATTTAACAACAGAATTAAATTTATTGAACGTGCTGGAATCTGGGTGTCAACAATTAAAGACTAAAACACGGATTAGTGTTGTCAGGAGGTTATTTATACCTGTACACGGTGATTAAAATAAAACTAAAGATACCTGGTTGTGCTCAACTCTTCTTTGCTTGAGTGTTACCGGAGTCTTTGCTCTGCCCTTTAGTGGTTCTCTCTTCTCAAGCTTGAGCTCTATTTTAGAGTCTGGAAATAACATTAGAGAAACCGTTACTCTCTGAAACACCCAATAAATGACGATGTTATCCTAATATTAATCAGGAACCCTGGTTTTAGGCACATTAAAAGGTAAAAAACGAGTCTACTGGTAATACCTCACTAGTCCAAAATTGTTTAACTGCAATTTGTCTTGAAAACTGTTTCATTATTTATCCCATTTTTGCTTATCTCCCTTACCCTTTCATCTGACAACCACTTCCTCCTATTCTCCTTTCCTTTATCTGGGACTAATAGCTTTGAACATGAAGTGAATTCAAAATGCTCCCACGAAAGCTTTTCACTAAGAACAATTTAGATGTGGAAAAAGGCCACTTAAAATACATAGTTGTTACCATTGTTTTGTCCATACAGTATACTACTACTGTACAGCAAAGGTTGGCTTACTAAATTAAAATTTGGAACACAGAAGGGAAATTTTAAAAATGAAAAAACCCATATAGTATACCAAGCTTCTATAACAATAAATGATAACTGCCATAACATTAGTAAGTACAGTATAAAAGTTTTTTTGATGTAGTTACAAAAAACCTAGGTACAACTCAGGTAATGAATCTTGTTCACAGAATACGACCAATCACAGGTCTCGTCCCATTTCTTCAAATAAAAATAACATTTCTTTGAAGAGAAGCCAATATTTATATATTACTTGACTTGTCACCATGATAGTTATTATTAACCTAACAATGCAAGGATATGTATTTTTTAATAGGCTTCAATATTCCAGTCTCCTAGTCTTAAATTCATTATCATTTGAAAATCTAGGTTTTGAAAAGACTGATTTTAGTTAACATCCCTGGCCCGGCGTGGTGGCTCACGCCTGTAATCCCAGCACTTTGGAAGGCTGAGGCCGGCGGATCACCTGAGGTCAGGAGCTCAAGACCATCCTGGCCAACATGGTGAAACCCCGTTTCTACTAAAAATATAAACATCAGCCAGGCGTGGTGGCAGGCACCTGTAATCCCAGTTACTCGGGAGGCTGAGGCAGGAGAATCGCTTGAACCCGGGAGGTGGAGGTTGCAGTGAGCCGAGATCACGCCATTGCACTCCAGCTTTGCGGACAAGAGCGAGACTTCCTCTTAAAAAAAAAAATTTCCTCCTTTTTGTAGACATTTATCATGGTATAGCAAAATTAGTAAGTCAAGTCAGTGATTACTTCTAAAACTTCTACTACCAAAAATTTAAGGCTGGGCGCGGTGGCTCAGGCCTGTAATCCCAGCACTTTGGGAGGCCGAGACAGGCGGATCACGAGGTCAGGAGATTGAGACCATCCTGGCGAACACGGTGAAACCCCTTCTCTACTAAAAAATACAAAAAAACTAGCAAGGTGGCGGGCGCCTGTAGTCCCAGCTACTCGAGAGGCTGAGGCAGGAGAATGGCGTAAATCTGGGAGGTGGAGCTTGCAGTGAGCTGAGATCCAGTCACTGCACTCCAGCCTAGGCAACAGAGCGAGACTCTGTCTCAAAAAAAAAAAAAAAAAAAAAAAAAAAAAAAAAAAAAAAAAAAATTAGATTACTTTATCAAAGAGACAGAAAGGAAGTCAATTCTAAAGTTTTACATGAACTCCATGATGAACCTGTGCAAAAAAGTTAGACATCTATATGTGTCTTGCTCTCTTTCCATTGTTAATATTAGTTAGTCCAGAATCTATTTAATAGTTGCAGGTTTCCCAAAAAAAAAAAACCAGTGATTTTTATCATGTTAGTTTAAACAGTTCAATATTTAGGACTAAGATTTCAAGTCTATCTCCCAACACTTCTATCAATGGCCCTATCAATATATCTACGTTTGATACAACCCCCAGCAATATAAAATTTACTTTAGGCTTTGTTAACTCAGATTTTAAGAACTAGAAAGCACAAAGTAAAAAAAAACCATCAGTAGTGGAGCAGAAATCAATTAAACAAATAAAGTATCTGGTTACAGATCAATTCCTCTTATAAATTTAAATTCCAACAGTCAATAAAAACATGGTCCTCAAACAGAAGAAAAACCATACAATAATCAGAGTATTTTCAATCATACCGCTGAAATGTCAGAGTGAGTTTCAATGATGAAATGGAAAAAGGGTGTTCATATACAAATGTTTAACTTGTTGCAACTCCAAGAATAAAGCACACATAACAACATGTTTCTGGAGACCACACAACACTGTTCAAATTTAACAACTTTTATTGAATTTGCAGAAGCATTCTACAGTAATACATTTTTAAAAATCACACAGCACTCAATAGGTACATGTATACATGTACATTTCAGAAGACAACAAATAAAATTACTCTCAGAAAGTTGCAAAGAGGGACATGTATAATCTAAGAATGTGGTAATGGCCAGAGGGAGTACCCAAGAGACCATATTTTATTATGCTTAAGGCTACTATTTTCCACAATACCTCTGCAGTTAGATTCTTATCTTACAATCATAGAAATTAAAAGATGATAATACAATGCTTTATACAGACACACAGATACTGGGATATAGTATATTTCTTATGGCTTTAAACAAATTAAATTTGCTTTTAGAGTCTATATTGTTAAACTTAACTTTCCACAAAATACAATATATCATGAAAGCAAAGTAGTATTTTTTAAAAAGCCCCATTATCTGATAAAATAGACGGTGAACATGCACTATCCCAGGATATCTATTATTATCCAAAGAAGTGTTTCTCAAAGTGTGGTCCATGGTACTGGTCCATGAATTGGTTGCTACCAGTCAATGAAGAGATACATTACTTGCATCAGAGTGTAAATCAATACATTGCTTTAGCTATTAATACAATTTTGCTAAAAAATAAATCCTGTCATTGACTTAAAAAGTATCTTTAGATTTAAATTATTGTGCATGCTTATCTTGCCTGTGGATAAGTAACAGTTCGTAGACTGGTAGTTTGAGTTGCACTGATCTAGACTACTATGATTGCTGTTGCAGACATGAGTAAAAAAACAAAAGCAACAAAATATGAGCAAAAATATGGACAAGTTATGGAATGTGAAAAGATACTGAGATAAAAATATCAAAAAGAACAAAATCACTGTTCTGAATGTGTAACAAACGTTTAAACCTGTCCTAGGTATAAAGGAGGATGCATATTACTCTATTAAACAGTAAAGACTCCTTATATCCTAATTAGAATTTTCTTAGTTTTGGAGAATTGTAAAAGCATACGTAAAGCAGGAAATAGAAAACAATTTGGAGACTAATATGTGATCTAGAAAGCTTTAAATTGTTTGTACCAGGTTTCCTACCTATGCAAATCTTTAAAAAAGAAAAGCAGTTCTACACAGGCAATTACTTTTATACTATAATTTGATGGGTAGAAGCTTAACATTTTGTAATTAGCCCTATCTGGAAACTAAAACAACCTTAACAGAAAAGAAAATGTTGGCATAAAAGTTTGAAATATAAGATAGGTGTCTTTTTGTTCTTAATGTTACTAGTGTTTATTTCCACGCTTTTTAATTACTTTGCATACTTCTCCTCCAAATAATGTTCCACCTTTAAAGGGAGTGGAAGCCAGCTTACTCTTAGAAGCTAAATTAATTTTGCAATCTTTCAGCCAGAGGTATCGACGACCTACAGTGGAATTTCCCATGGTATGGGCAGCCATCTTCACTTCATCAAATGCAGCTTCACAAATATATGAGGCTGCATCATATGTTTTGCTCAGAATCCCAAGTGCTTGATGGGTACGACTAGGATCTGAGCTAAGAATCTGTGCAGCTTGACTAATGTCTGCCTGCATAGCCTTAGCAACAAAGGCAGTGTGGGTTGCAATCTGCAATGCTGATGCTGCGGCTTCATATGCTCTACAGAGTGCTAAGTCCAACTGTTTATCGCAAGACTCAGTGGAGGTTGCTTGAATACCTGCTGGTGGAGTGGCTTCAGAAATAAACCCTAGGATTTCATCATCTACTTTTGGAACTGATAATAACCGTGTTGCCTCCTTGGAAGAAACTGGATATCTGCATGCCAGTGAAGGCAGCTGCCTGTCAACTTGCTGCCATTCTTCTTCAATTACTTTTAAAATAGATTCATGGAAGGGAAAAGATAGTTCTGAGGCATCTATTTTATCATGCTGTGACTGCTTAGACACTTCTAGACCTAAGGTAGTGAGTGAATGAGAGACAACAGTTTTGGCAAAAGAAGACGGCAAAAGTTCGGATCCAGGTATGTTCTGAAATGCCACAACGGAACCTGAATCCCTTTCCTCCACTGACTTCTCACTCAGTCTAGGGACTTTTCGTGGAGGAGACAGGAATTCAGTTTCTTGAAACTTAGATTGATCAATTCTCTTCTGTATGTTTTCTACATCCAGTGGGGGTGTAGAGTTAGAAGTTCCAGGCAAACTACCTGTCCCACCCTGGACCAACAGAGAATTGACATAATCTCTGATTGCCTGGGCAAGTGGCGGAGAAATTAGTTTTGAGCTCTCAGACTCTTCTAGTGCTTTCCTTTTACTGGAGAGAGGCGACTGATCTGAAATATGGGACCTCTCAGGACATAACGGTTGAATTCCACTTTTTTCTCTACCGCAAATATTTTCTACTATGTCTTTATAGCAAGCAGTGGTGGTTTCTTTAATCAGTGAAGGAGAAGCTGCAGCAGAGACCAACATGGCACTGTGTTCAGGCTGAGAAGATGACGAAGAACTTTTCTCTAAGCACCTATTATGGCTAGACTTGCATGAAATAAACAAATTCCTTTCAGAGGCTAACTTCTGCAATTGTCCCCTGCCAGGCAAGTTTGTGGCAACAAGAGGCTCCCTAGGTAGGTCTCCCTTAGAAGTATGTACTTTCTTAGCTGCCTGTAGTTCAGTACTGCCCAAAGGAGGACGGGTGGAGATTTCAGGAAAAGAAATACCCTGAAAAAATCCACCACCAGAGGCAGTAGTTCCAAGTTCAGAAAAAGGAACAAAATCCCTAGTGGACTTCACTTTCTTGTGTTCTTTCTTCTTTCCTGTAGAGGCAAAAGAGGCAGGAAGTTTAAGCATTACCTGTGTTTGAGCTGATTTTATTCTTTGCCTCTTTGCTAAAAATAGTGCTGTCAAAGGAAAAGACTCTATAATTTAATATTCTGAACTAATCTGCCAGATTTGCCCTGGTAGACACAGCTTATTGAGATATAAACAATCTGGATCAAAATAAATAACCACAAGTCATATGAATTAAAAGTTTACAAAAATCAAGTTGTACTTACAATTTTTAAAGGACATTTATTTCACGTCCTATCCTCAAAAAATATTTCAACATCATAATCAAATTTTAAGATACTATCTAGTCTACTAAAAATGTAGTCAAAATATTTGCTTTAAAGTTGCCTTCAGGTCAGATCAACAAAAACTGTAAACAATTTAAATGCCTATCAATAGAGAATAGAGAAAATATGCCATATTTAAATGCTACTATGTATTATGCGGAATAAACAGATATGTAACTAATTGGATTATATTTCAAAAATAAAGGAGTAAGAAAAAGCAAGTGATAAGATTTAGCATATTGTTTATATAAATTTTGTATTCTTAAAGTATAAAATAATACCATGTATTAGACAGATGTGTATGTGAAATATAAAAACAAACTTGAAAGATGGGCATTGAATTAGTAGTTACTTCTGTGGAGGTGACAGGTACAGATAAGTACAAGGAACTTTGCCTTTACTTGTAATACTTTATTCTCTCAGAAAAATGGGTTTGAAGCAAAAAAGACAAAGTTAACTTGCAATTTCAGGTGACAGAAAATTATAAATTTGTACTATGTTGTTTCTTATAATTTTCAATAAAAAGTATTTAAATCAAATTACAGAATTACTCTAATGACATGAATAAAATTTGTATATCTTGTCAATATTTGTTTTAAATTTTACTTTCTTCATGGTCACTGTATTTTGAGTGTGAAAAAATTACGTACATTTGATTAACATCATTTAAAATTTTACCTTCTTCATTGTCACTATATCTGTCAGAATCATTACTTCCATTCTGCCTTGTATTTTCTGCTGAAGAAGAAATTGTTGGCAGAGGAGTAGAAGATCTTGATTCTGTTCCTTGTTCCCTCAGTTTCAAAAGCTTTTTCTCATACAGCTTCCTGGTTGTTCCTGGATTAAGGCAGAATTTGCTTTAGTACTTGTATTGCTTCATTTAGGGTGCAGCTCAGACACTATACTCAGCAACATTTTAAGCTATTTTCACTCTTTCTTTTTTTAAACTCAAGTTTTTTTTTTTGAGACGGAGTCTTGCTCTGTCACCCAGGCTGGAGTGCAGTGGCCGGATCTCAGCTCACTGCAAGCTCCACCTCCCGGGTTCACGCCATTCTCCTGCCTCAGCCTCCCAAGTAGCTGGGACTACAGACGCCCGCCACCTCGCCCGGCTAGTTTTTTTGTATTTTTAGTAGAGACGGGGTTTCACCGTGTTAGCCAGGATGGTCTCGATCTTCTGACCTCGTAATCCGCCCGTCTCGGCCTCCCAAAGTGCTGGGATTACAGGCTTGAGCCACCGCACCCGGCTAAACTCAAGTTCTTAAAAATACTATATAATGCGGCCGGACATAGTGGCTCACGACTGTAAACCCACCACTTTGGGAGGCCGAGGCGGGTGCATCACTTGAGGTCAGGAGTTCGAGACCAGCCTGGCCAACACAGTGAAACTGCATCTCCACTAAAAATGCAAAAATTAGCCGGGAGTGGTGGCACATGCCTGTGATCCCAGCTATTTGGGAGGCTGAGACAGGAGAATCACTTGAAATTGGGAGGCAGAGGTTGCAGTGAGCCAAGATCACACCACTGTCCAGCGACGAAGTGAGACACCATCTCAAACAAACAAACAAAAGGACAGACGTGGTGGCTGATGCCTGTAATCCCAGCACTTTCAGAGGCCAAGGTGGGTGGATCACCTGAGGTCAGCAGTTCAAGACAAGACAGCCTAACATGGTGAAACCCCATCTCCACCAAAAATACAAAAAATTAGCTGGGCCTGGTGGTGGGCGCCTGTAATCTCAGCCACTCAGGAGGCTGAGGCAGGAGAATTGCTTGAACCCAGGAGGTAGAGGCTGCAGTGAGCTGGTATCGCACCACCGCATTCCACAGAACTATATAATGCACTGTTTTTATAATAGGTGGTTTTTTTTGGAAACGACATTTCTTTTAATAGCATGAAATACATAGTAAATTAATATAGGCCTTACTGTAGACCATCTACTGAAAAGCCATGTATGACTATTTTTGACTGAAGTCTTGCACTTGTGTATTTTCTCTACTACCACATAATAGTACTTGCCAACATAGAAAAATCACATATAAGCGGATTGTACCTCTATGAAAAATAACTATGATTAAACTTCCACAACTCTAAGGCATTAATATGCTGTATTAGTTTGGGAAGAAATTTTTTTTTTTTTTTTTAGACGATTCGCTTGTCCCAGCTGAGTGCAGTGGCGATCGCTCACTGCAAGCCTCCCGGTTCACGCCTCCTGCCTCCCCCGAGTAGCTGGACACAGGCCCACAACGCCGCTAATTTTTTTTTTTTAGAGACTTTCACTGTCTCGTTCTATTGTATCCGCCCTCGGCCCCAAGTGCTGGATTACAGGCGTGAGCAGTGCCGGGAAAAGAAAAGTTCTATAAATCAGATTTAAATATAACAACTTTGCAGTTAAAATGACCTTTTATGGAAAACACATATCACAAAGCAAAACTGATTACAAATTCTTAACACATTGGAACATCAGTGGCAGTTTAAAACCAAAATAGATTTTGTCTTACGCTAACTGTATATCTTTCCTTAACTTCTGTAAGATGAGCAAAATGACAATGGATATTTTTTAGAAGCAACATGTGTCCAGAAGTGTTATAGAAATAGCTTTAAGATGAACAGGTCATATATCAACATATCATTTAATGTAGGCTGACATTATAACACACATTTTTCAGTGTCTCCCTTTTGGAATTTCTTTTTTTTTTTTTTTGAGACAAGGTCTTGCTCTGTTGCCCAGGCTGCAGTGCAGTGGTGTGATCGTAGTTCACTGCAACCTTCAACTTGTAGGCTCAAGCAATCCTCCCACCTTTGCCTCCTGAGTAGCTGGGACTACAAATGTGCACCACCATGCCTGGCTAATTTTTTTAAAAAATAGAGACAAGGTTCACTATGTTGCCCTGGCTGCTCTTCAACTCCTGAGCTCAAGCAATTCCACCACCTTGGCCTCCCAAAATGTTGGGATTATTTATAGGCATGAACTACCATGCCCAGGCCTTTTAGAACTTTAAACAAAAAATTTTTTAAAAGTGTTATATATCTGTTGGTAATTGTATATGAATAAGCTTATGATTATTTGGAAGCAGCTTATACATTAAAACAAAATATTCCAAATCCTTATTTGCAACTATACCTACAGCAAAACCTACCAAATCTCTAGTGTCCACAATTTTATGTAACTTAGAAGATCAAGACCAGATGCAATGGCTCATGCCTGTAATCCTAGGACTTAGGGAGGCCTAGGTGGCAGGACTGCTTGAGCCCAGGAGTTCAAGACTAGCCTAGGCAATATAGTGTGACCCCATCCCTACAAAAAATACAAAATTTAGCCAGGAATGGTGGCACATGCCTGTGTTCCCAGCTACTTGAGAGGCTGAGGTGGGACTGCTTGAGCCCAGGAGGTTGAGGCTGCAGTAAGCCACGACTGCGTCACTACACTCTAGTGTGGGGAACAGAGCAAGACCTTTTCTCAAAAAAAAAAAACCATCAAAATGGAATTTTCTCATCCTGCGGTTATTGCTAAGACACTCCAAAACTAAGGCATAATCAACACTGCAAAATCTTCATCACCTAAAAGTAATCCAACAATGGAAATCCAGTGTATTTAGTTCTAGGTTTTTGTTTTTTAAGGGTATAATTATTCAATTCCAATCAAGACAGGATTTTCAAAAGGGTACTTTTAATGATACATGAAAAAGGGGCTGGGCGCAGTGGCTCACGCCTGTAATCCCAACACTTTGGGAGCCTGAGGTGGGCGGATCACCTGAGGTCAGGTGTTTAAGACCAGCCTGGCCAACACGGCGAAACCCCATCTCTACTAAAAATATAAAAATTAGCCAGGCGTGGTGGTGGGTACCTGTAATCACAGCTATTCGGGAAGCTGAGGCTAGAGAACTGCTTGAACCTGGGAGGCAGAGGTTGCAGAGAGCCAAGATCATGCCATTGCACTCTAGCCTGGGCGACAAGAGCGAAACCCTGTCTCAAAAAAAAAAAAAAAGGTACTATGCTAGGAATTTAATAACCTCATTAAGAAGTCTGTCACTAACTCACTTTTTCTTTTTTATTTATTTATTTTTTTGAGACAGGGTCTTCCTCCACTGCCTCTGGCCAAAGTACAGTAGCCATCATGGCTCACTGCAACCTTGAACCCCCTACCACCTCAAGCAATCCTCCTGCCTCAGCCTCCTAAGTCGCTGGGACAACAGACTTGTGACACCACACCGTGCTAATTTTAAAATTTTCTGCAGAGATGGGATCTCCCTACGATGCTCATGCTGGTCTTAAACGCCTGGGCACAAGCAATCCTCCCATCTTGGCCTCCCAAAGTATTGGGATTACAGGAGTGAGCTACTGTACCCGGCCACTAACTCATTTATTTGGGCAATTCTGCCCAGCTATGTTACCTCAGATTTTCCTCAATTGTCATATAAGACCCATGTCTCAGCAGAAGTACGATGTAAGTGGCCGGGCACGGTAGCTCACGCCTGTAATCCCAGCACTTTGGGAGGCCGAGGCGGGCAGATCACGAGGTCAGGAGATGGAGACCGTCCTAGCTAACACAGTGAAACCCTGTCTCTACTGAAAAATACAAAAAATTAGCCAGGCGTGGCAGTGGGCGCCTGTAGTCCCAGCTCCTCGGCAGGCTGAGGCAGGAGAATGGCGTGAACCCGGGAGGCAGAGCTTACAGGGAGCCGAGATCACGCCACTGAACTCCACAGCCTGGGTGACAGAGCAAGACTACGTCTCCAAAAACCAGAAAAACAAAACAAAAAGAAGAACGATATAAGCACTGTATAAAACAATCTCAACAATAGAGGTAATTTTGGAGATTATCTAATTCAATCCTCTCATTTTATTTCACTCATTTGGAGTCAAAGAAACATAGGTTTTGCTGATACAAATGATTAATGACAAACCAGTCCTTAGAACCTAAACTAACTGCTAAGCAAAAGGAGAAAATAATTTGGGGTCCTGCTTCAGAGAAAAGATACTGTATTTGAAATTTTATCAACTTACCTACAATAGGACCAGGATTCACTCCATATTTCACAAGCTGATCCAAAAGATCTTCATTAGTGAGCTCTGTTACATCTAGATCATCTTTATCATCTTGTCTGGGTTTATCAGTTTTTTTGGTGGCTTTCTGTAAACAAAGTCCAGTAATCATTTCTATATGAATTAAAGTGTTCACTTACTAGATAATAATCTGAATAAAATAAACATGCAAACTCACCACCAAGTTGGTTTATAGTACTATTAGGCCTTAGCAATTTGATTAAATTAAGAGCAACTCATTATTGGAGAACATTTCCTAAGTTGAACTGTAATCATACAAACCGCATAGCCAAGCAAGTAACTTAAATTTTAAAGATACTGTTGTTAAAATAGCCCATTTTGGACTATCTAAAAGAGGTAGTAATAGCATCAAAAATGCAAAAGAACAAATAAAAGTAAAACTGACTTTGGCTAACACTTTCTTTTAAATAACCTTTTTTTTTTTTTTTTTTTTTTAAATGATACAGGGTCTAGCTCTGTTACCCGGGCTAGAGTACAGTGGCACTATCTCCGCTCACTGCAACCCCCACCTCCCAGGCTGAAGTGATCCTCCCACCTCAGTCTCCCAAATAGCTGGGATTACAGGTGCGCACCACCACCCCTGGCTTTTTGCATGTTTTTTTTTTTTTTTTTGTAGAGATGGGGCTTTTGCCATGTTGCCCAGGCTGGTCTCAAACTCCTGGACTCAAGTGATCGGTCCACCTTAGCCTCCCACAAGTGTTAGGATTATAGGTGTAAGCCACTGCACATAGCCTAAATAACCACAAATTATATTTCATTTCTTAAAGCATATACTCCAATGGCAAGGGAAACAGATCAGCATGAAACTTGCAAAGTAAAGCCAGGCTGGGCTTAAAAATTTTCATCTAAATGATCATGAACGCTACTTACTAACTTTTTGATTATCCTTCAAAGTTTAAATTAATCCAGGAAAGTTTAAGACTTTACCATACAGGCTTACACTTGGATATATATACAGAAATGATTTTCTTTAAACAGCATATGAGAACTTAAGAAGGCCAAATGAATACAGCTGGCTCTCCATTCTCCCAAATGAATACAGTTGGGTTCTACATTTGTGAATTCAACCAACCACAGACCAAAAATACTTAGGGGAAAAAAATGACAATACAGCAATAAAAATACAAATAAAAATACAGTATAACAATTATTTACATAGCACTTACATTGTATTAGGCATTATAAGTAACCTAGAGATGATCTGAAGTATAAGGGAGGATGTATGTAGCTTACTACACCACTTTATATTAAGGGACATACTAAAGCATCCCGAGTTTGATATCCATGGCTGGGTCCCGGAACCAATTTCCACCCCAAGGATAGGAGACAGGACTGTAAACTCCTTGTAACATAGTTATTTTAGTAGCTAGTTTATGACTTAGGAAGGAAATCTGACAGACTTCATGGTTACATTATCACCTTTGACACAGTTTAGTCACCAGATTAACTTCTGTACCACCAGTTTACTAAAAATAGTCAAAATAACTTGAAACAAACTTTGAGGGAAAATTTAAAAGTTTTAAAATTAATTTATACAAAGGCAATATTTACTGGAAAAACTATAAATTTCCAAGGTTGAACAAATAAAAAGGAAGCAAAAGAATGGATACCTTTTAAGGCTGTGGCAAACAGCCTGACAAATGCCTCAGTGATCACAGAAAAAACATCAGAGTGCCAAACAAAAAAAATGGCTAAACAATGGCAACATCAAAGTAAATTTTACGAAAAAGGCTAAAATTATCAAGTTGTATGGAATGTTCACTTTCCAAACATATTAGGGGGAAAAAATCAGGCATTATTTGGCTATGTACTGGAATTCCTGTTTTTAAAAATAAAAATGGGCCAGGTGTGGTGGCTCAAGCCTGTAATCCCAGCACTTTGGGAGGCCAAGACGTCAGGAGATCGAGGCCATCCTGGCTAACACGGTGAAACCCCGTCTCTACTAAAAAATACAAAAACCTAGCCGGGCGAGGTGGTGGGCGTCTGTAGTCCCAGCTACTCGGGAGGCTGAGGCAGGAGAATGGCGTGAACCCGGGAGGCGGAGCTTGCAGTGAGCTGAGATCCGGCCACTGCACTCCAGTCTGGGCGACAAAGCGAGACTCTGTCTCAACAACAACAACAACAACAACAAAATAAATAAATAAATAAATAAAAATGTTCTGACCTAGAATTGTCAGGCTCAAATTTTTTTTTTTTTTTTTTTTTGAGACCGTGTCTTACTCTTATCCAAGCTGGAGTGCAGTGGCGCAATCTTGGCTCACCACAACCTCTGCATCCCAGGTCCAAGTGCCTCAGCCTCCTGAATAGCTGGGATTACAGGTGTACACCACCATGCCTGGCTAACTTTTGTATTTTGAGTAGAGATGGGGTTTCAGCATGTTGGCCAGGCTGGTCTTTAACTCCTGACCTCAAATGTTATGCCCCCCTGAGCCTCCCAAAGTGTTAGGATTACAGGCGTGAACCATGGAGCCTGGCCTGAAATACTTCAAATAAAGCCAAGATACAAGAAATTCTTCTTAAAGCTGCCTAATCGCTAATCATTCTATAATCAGAAGCCACAAACCCTCACCACCAAAAAGATAGCTGCTCATAAGAACAATTATGTCAACTTTCACATATACTGCACTGACCTAGACCTGTCAGGCTCAAATCTGGAAGCAACCCACACCCGTAATATCCAAATAGTTGCCTAGAGTCTAAGAGTTCTAAGACTTATTTCTTTCAAGAAAAGATTTAATCAAACTTAATCCTATGTTATTGACTTACTCAAATTTTCCAAAAAGTGCAGTCAGGTAGTAGAGAAAAACTAAAATAATGCTTAAAATAAAAATAAAATATGGAAAAACAATCAATCAGGTTCAAATTATTTGTACACAACCCCCGCTACCATGAGAATGTTCAATTTACTATCAATAAAACATCCAGGAAATTCCAACTTTTCAAACCTGCCCGAGAGGTTTTCAAGAAATCTCTCTGGGCCAGGTGCAGTGGCTCATGCCTGTAATCCCAGCACTTTGGGGGACCAAGGCAGGTGGATCACTTGAGGTCAGGAGTTCGAGATCAGCCTGGCCAACATGGCAAAATTCTGTCTCTATTAAAAATACAAAAATTAGCTGGGTATGGTGGCACACGCCTGTAATCCCAGCTACTTGGGAAGCTGAGGCAGGAGAATTGCTTGAACCTGGGAGGCGGAGGTTTCAGTGAGTTGATATTGTGCCACTGCACTCCAGCGTAGGTGATAGAGCAAGACTGTCTCAAAAAAAATCTTAACTCTTTTTTTTTTTTCAAAGTGGAGTCTGTTGCTCAGGCTGGAGTGCAGTAGCACCATCTCGCCTCGCTGCAACCTTCCACCTCCCAGGTTCAAGCAACTCTCCTGCCTCAGCCTCCTGAGTACCTGGGACTACAGGTGCATGCCACCACGCCCAGCTAATTTTTGTACTTTTAGCAGAGACAGGGTTTCATCATTTTGGCCAGGCTGGTTTCAAACTCCTGAGCTCGTGATTTGCCCACCTCAGCCTTCCAAAGTGCTGGGATTACATGCCTGAGCCACAGCACCCAGCCCAAAATCTTAACTCTTATTAACCACTATTTTGGAAAGGTCTTACCCATTTCTGATTCTTTACCTCGGGCCAGAGAATCTGTTTGTAATGTGTAGCCCAGGTGATCTGGATGCAGCATTGAGGCAAGCAACAGAAAGCAGGAGCACTATCATCCTTATATTTTATTCCAAGCATCTAAAAATTTCTAAGAAGATTGATACAGGAATAGTCCCCAATAAATGTTTTGTCAAATCCGGGGAAGGAAAAAGTAATTTATTTTTGAAAATCCATTTCTTATTAGAAATAGCAGGCCTATCAAATCTAAGCAGAAAACCAATTCTCCGTTGGGTGCAGCAGCTCACGTGTGCAATTCCAGCACTTTGGGAGGCCGACGAATGAGGATCATTTGAGGTCAGGAGTTTGAAACCAGCCTGGCCAACATGGTGAAACCCCATCTCTAATAAAAATAGAAAAATTAGTCAGGTGTGACGGCACACGCCTATAGCCCTAGCTACTTGGGAGGCTGAGGCTGGAGAATCACTTGAACTGGGGAAGCAGAGAGTGCAGTGAGCCAAGATTGCATCACTGCACTCCAGCCTGGGTGATAAGGCCAGACTTTGCAGAGAAAGAAAGAGAAAGAAAGCAAAGCAAGAAAAGCAAGCAAGCAAGAACGAACGAACGAACGAAAAAGAGAAAGAAAATCAATTATCTTATTATTTCCTTCAAACACAATGAAAAACTTTAACTGAACAAACATATCTTAAATAAGCGACCAACAAACCTACACAAGGTAAGTCAGACAGATGAAAACCAAAAATGTGATTTTTTTTTTCTGAGATGTAGTCTCACTCTGTTGCCCAGGCTAGCCTGCAGTGGCATGGCCTCCATGGCCTCCCAGGTTCAAGCGATTCTCCTGCCTCAGCCTCCCAAGCAACTGGAATTACAAGCGCACACCACGCCCAACTAATTTTTGTATTTTTAGAAGAGACAGGGTTTCACTACGTTGGCCAGGCTGGTCTCAAACTCCTGACCTCAGGTGATCCACCTGCCTCGGCCTCCCAAAGTCCTGGGATTACAGGTGTGAGCCACCACGCACGGCCAAACATGTGATTTTTAATCTGTCAGGAAAAAAGTTCCAGAAAAGTGACGTCATTTTATAAATCCCAGATTTAATAAGGATAAAAAATTAGGAGGCAGTGTGCTATACACGATTAGTAGTTTCAGTCAGGAAAAAGGAAGCATTAGTTGCATTAAATTCTGCCTCCAGAAAACTTTGTTCCTTTAAGTAGATCACTTAAGAGTTTCACTCAAAAATAGTGAGTACCTACTATGCCACCCGATGATCTCTAATGTATTTTTCAACTTTAAAACCCAACAGTTCTATGATATCACCTATGAGCTACTGTAATACCTTTAATCTCTACTTCTAGTATAAAGATGCTGAACCATAACATTATAACAGATTATATCGGGCACTTATTATATATCATGTACTGAGTTGTGTTCCAAATGTCTTTGCATTAACTTA